TTATTATTTATAATCAAGACGCAACTTTTTGAATATACATAGAGTTGGTTTATAAAAATGTGCAATATGCTAGCAAAAATTTAACATCTAACAACCAAGGATTAGGAAAAGCAAGAGTTACAGACAAAGGAGAGAGAGAAAAGTTGTCACGGTGAATGCAGACGCATTTACTCTTATATAGTTTGTGATTTTTCTGTCGTATACAAATTTTCAGGATTATATGGCAAAGCTTTCAAAAAGTTCCTCTCCCCTTTACTTCCAAAACATCTTTTAGCAAGGGAGCAAAGCAAAAAAAGAAACACTTTGAAAAACAAATGCAAGACAGGCACTATAAAGTAATGAAGAAATTTGGGGGGAGGGGGGAGTGTATCCAAAAATCTCACATTTCTTTCAACACACAAGGCTTGAGATTAGCAGAAAGGGTGAGTTAGAGCAAGAAGTCATCCAGTTTTAAGAACTGGGCATGAGCTTTCTCTAACAGAAGTGATGAAATGAGCTATCAGAACAATTAAACAAAGAGGCAAGCAAAAATAAGCGTATTATTAATGTTCTACAGGAATTGCAAATTTAGCCTAAATATTTGCAACATTTAAGTCACAAAATTTGAAAGTTAGGACAGAAGTGGCATGCTCTCTAGAAATGTTATAAAAACACAACTGTCAGAATTTGACCATGTTTGTTCAAACGTGTCAGTGAGGCAGCGATGTTGCTTTTCAACAATCATGAATTTAAGAATCCATTTATTAAGCCCAGTGACTGTTGTGTTCTAAAAGCAACTGCATCACGTGAAAGGATTGGTTTAGACAAAGCGCATCAAAGATTTATACTCCTTTACAGAATCCTGCAATGTCGTAGGCGAGATTCAATATATTCATTTAAAAGGAAGTTTATGATGTACTGTACATACAGTGGTAGGTAAATTCTGTCTCCTGAAGCACACATAAAACTAGTAAGGGGTTGAAACTTGGGTCTCAGTAATGAGCCTCTATTAATGTACAGATGGGTACATTAGAGAAATCCAAGCCACCACCCACCACTGAAGGGATTCAGCAAGTGTTATTGAGATACACAAATCCAGTTTCTCCAGTAAACAGTTACGCACACAAATCAGTCTCATTCCGTAGTAAAATACTGGAAGGCTGAGAAACACACTAGGTACATCATCACTGGCAGTTGGGATGGCTCCAAACTGTGTCACTTGAGTCACACCCCATTGGTGGTCCATAGTAAACATCAGCTAGTTCACTTGTCAGTTAAATTCATAGAATCACAGAATGGTTTGGGCTGGAAGGGACCTTAAAGACCATCTGGTTCCAACCCCCCTGCCATGGGCAGGGACACCTTCCACTAGACCAGGTTGCTCAAAGCCTCATCCAGCCTGGCCTTGAAGACATCCAGGGATAGGGCATCCACAACATCTCTGGGCAACCTGTTCCAGTGCCTTACCACCCTCTCTGTGAAGAATTTCTTCCTGACATCTAATCTAACCCTCCCTGATTTCAATTTGTACCCATTCCCCCTTGTCCTGTCACTACAGGCCCTTGTAAAAAGTCCTCTCCCAGCACCCGTGTAGGCCCCTTCAGATACTGGAAAGCTGCAATGAGGTCTCCTCGGAGCCTCCTCTTCTCCAGGCTGAACAAGCCCAATTCTCGCAGCCTTTCGTCATAGGAGAGGTGCTCCAGCCCTCTGATCATCTTAGTGGCCCTCCTCTGGACTCGCTCCAAGTGGTCAATATCCTTCTGTTATTAACCAGTTTTCTCCAAGAAAAAGCCAGAATACAATTGATGAAATAATGTCATTAACTCCAGCATAAACCAACTCCAAATAAATACTATTACAACTATCACTTAGTGACTGTCTATGGGTCACAGAAGGTGTCATTGTTTAACCCCTGCTGGCAGTTAAGTACCATACAGCTGCTCACTCACTTCCCACTTCCTCCACAGGAAGATGGGAATAGGAAGAAAAGACAAGGTATCTCATGGATTGATATAAGAACAATTTAGTAATTGAAAATAAATTAATAAAATAGTTATAGTAATGATACGAACAATAGCAATGCTACTACTAATAAGTAATTAAAATAATAGAAAACAAAACGTATGATGAAGTTGCTCATTACCAGCCAACCAATGCACAGCCAGGTCCCAAGCAGCGAAAGTCAAAGCCAGAAAGCCCGAGAGCTGCAGCCCAAAAGCAATTGCAGCAGAGTCTGAGCGAGTCTCACAAGCAACAGCACAACTGGAAAAGCCAACCGACCCACCAACTCACTAATGAATGAACAAGATAACACATAAACAAAGGAACAAATGAGCTATAGTCCCGCCCCAGCCCACCCCTGGCTTATATACTGAGCATGACATGCTATGCCATGAAATAATCCTTTGGTCAGTTTGGGTCAGCTGCCTGAACTGTGTGTGTCCCCCACACTGCCTGTAGCAAGGAAGTTGGTAACACAGCTGCAGTATCAGAAGTTGAAAAAGTCCTTGAATTGGTGCAAGCACTCCCTAGCACCAGCTAAAACACACCTTATTGGTACTATTCTCAGGGCAAATCCAATACCAGCCACTGTAAAGAAAATTAACTCTGTCCTGACTAAAAGCTGCACAGAAGGCCATAAGAAAATGATCAGGAGAAAACTCAAATTTCTAATGGTGTCACACTGAAATACAGACTTCTGTTTACTTACCAACCGCCTACGCCACGACAGTTCTTTCTCGCTGTAACGCATCATTCTCAAATAACTGTTACCAGCATGTTAATACGTCGTTGTCACGTGGCATTAAACAGGCACTATGTTAACTGATGCACTTCCAACTTACCGCATCTATCACACAAATAAAACTGTACATCCTGCTAATATGCTCTGTTTCAATAGCTCTTCTGAAATTTGGGGAACATCTCAACAGTTAAGCAAGCCTTCCCTATGCTTCAAATCCTGTACATCTCGCTTTGTTAGCTTTATCGTGGAATACCTACGTTGTTTTGAAGATAGGAAATATTTCCTCATAAATCAAACCGAACAGGACCATGGAAAGACCATGGAAATAGCTGATGCTGCAAATTCAGTACTTAATGAAGTGTTACACTTCATAATATATGCGAGAAGCAGATAGATGAAACAGACAAAATACTGAAGGCAGTCAAATTTCATTTAGGCTCCTAATATTATTTATAATGACTTAATGCTAGCAATTTATGTGGTTTCTAAAAGAAACACACTTACTTCAGTTAGTAGAGGAGACAAAACACTGAAAGATGGATTTCAGAAACTAGCCAACAACGGGACAATTAAGGGGCCACGGCAAAAGGCAGCCCACAAAGAAAAGGCCAGCAAGTTTCCCTGTCCTGCAGGTAAACATTACCCATAAGCTTGAGTCCTCTCTGACACATAAATACATGATTGAAATTGCTTTCCTTGATTTCGCTTCACCCATGCAAAATACCACCTTTTTATCCAGCAGACCTGTGCCTTAGACAATGGCCTTACAAGGTAATACTACTCAGAAATGAAGACCAGCTGCTTCTCTCCAAAACTTTCACAGCAAACTTCCATCTGAGAGATTCAGAGGAGAGTCACTGTAATCACGTTTTACCCTGCACTGCCAAAGTTATTACCTTACTAACCTTGTATGTGCATATTATAAAAATCATCCATTTATGTTACAGTGAATTACTTTAACACTGGGAACACAACACCTGAAATGAATTTCAAGTGACAAGACCATCATCCATCATACTTTCTCAGCATTAATGCCACTACATAAAGCTTTCTGCTTCACTGCTTGAAAACGTAGGTGTTTCAGGAAGAAAATGTTTTGCAGGTGTTGCCATGTATACTGATACTTTTTCCACATCAGAATGTTCTTTGAGCACATAGCATAAATCAAGCAAAAAAGCATATTTGGCTAATATTTAATTTTAAAAGACAAATCATTACAAATATTAGTAAATCTAGAAGCAACTTACTCCATTCACATCTCTAAGAGTTCTGAAGATTACATCCCAAATGGGGAAAGGAATAAACATAAAAATACATAAAAACTAGAGAAAGATAGAAGTGAGATCTTCCTTTTGTGGTAGGGCCTCAAAACCCAACAATTTGATTTGTAGACATTTTATCAGATTACACACTGAAAGTAAAAAAAAGGCCTTAAATTAAGAAGCAGCACATACTATCAACATAGCACATATTAACACTGAAATCTTAATTTCTTATAGTACTAGTTTGTATTATTTTCAGTTAATATTTTAATTTGCAGATGGTTAAGATCCTATAGGATGTTCTGACAAAGCATTTTCACTAAAGTATCTTTTTGTAGTAGCGTTATAATACAAAGACTAGACAAATTAAACTGCTAGCCTGAAGATGGGAGAAAAAGGGGCGACATTTAAATAAAAGTATGACAGATCGACTGAAAAACCACCATTAGACTTTGAACAAAAAGTTCAGTTATGCTATCGTCGATAATTACAAGTGTTTGTAAAATAAACTCTTCAAACCCACAATAAAACCACTCATGCTACAAAGAAATATTTACAAATTCTCAACCATTTGCTTATAGTTTTAAAATGTAATGGTCAACCAGCTCTAAAAACTTTAGGAGAAGTCATTTTCTGAACTTTAAACATTCCTTAAAAACAACATAATAGTTTATCTAGTTGATGCAAACACCTGACACTGATGGAGGCATTCCAGACAGAGTCTGTTTTTTCGTTACTATTATCCCCACCTCTGGAACCGTTTTGGGTTTGCATGGTAAGGTTTTGGGGGGGGGGGTGTGCTACAGGGATGGCTTCTGTGAGAAGCTTCCCCTATGGGAAGCCCTCAACATCAGAAGGATATAGACCTTTTTTTTAGTGCTGTCAGCACTTTTCATAGGGTTTCTAGTATTCTCCAGATGGAAGCAGATAAATTTAAAAATCCAAACGGCTATTTTCCAAGAGCATCACTAAACAATGCAACAAAAGTCGTAAAAATCAGACTTTATCAGACTTACCGCCAGTGCTTTAGATAACTTTGTTCTATAGTTGCTCAAAACAATTGAATCAATGTCCTTAAGTGGCACATAAGCAAAGCCATCTTTAATAAACACTTTTCTGGCTCTGAAGAGATCCACAGCATCTGCAAGTCCAACCTGAAAAAGAAGAAAAACCCATACTGTGGAAGAGCAAAATAATGCAGTAACAGTGTTTGCTACCCTACGATTCAAGACAGACCAGTAAATCTTTAAGCCATTCTCTGTCTTTTACGAAAGATCTATCCAGGCAAAACACAAAGATTTTGAAATTAAATGTTGACTCAGGAACAGCTGATTGTTATTTTGGTGGAAAAACATCAGTTACTTACAGAAAGCCATGCAGCCAGGCAAAATAAGCTACTCTAAAATTTGTATCTACGACTATTAGCCCAATTATGTAGCTTTGCATCGCTTAACAATTTGATATTTGAAAATGGACTTCTGTTGGCCTTCTGCTTCAGACATCTTGAAATACTTGATTCATGTAAGCTACATATAAAAAGTCTTAGAAACAGATCTGGAACCCAACCAACTTCGCTCCGAAGACGAATCAGTGGGTTACATTAAATGTTTCTTTCCTCTCCCCTCACTCTCTGCAAAAAGAATTTCAGCGTAATACAATCAGACCAAACCCAGTTTCAGCAGCAGATGTTTGAAAATGTCTCCCTCCTGATGGGTCTGGCAGCCAGGCAAGTTAAGCCATTTGTCTGGGAAACGGTAAAACTTAAGTCCATTTTTCTGGCAAAAGACATGGGACGGCAGGAGGAGACTGAAGACATTAATGGCAGTTTAAAGGTCCCTTCATTCTCCCAGTCCCTCCCACTGACATGAAAAAGAGGCACTCATTACTCTCAGTTAAATTAGCTACTTGGGTTAACTGTTAGCAATAATGTAATCTTAACATGAGTAACTCCAAGTTTAACTGAAAGAGAATTAATGCAAACCTGTGGAACTTACCAATTTCTACATACCTTATAGAACATTACTTCTTTTACTTTAGGGAGAATGAGGCCTGGGGTTGATGTATACAGCTCATTTGACAATTCACTTTTCAGGTCATCACTAATCTAAAATTAAGAACTTGTTTTAAAACTGCTGAAATACTTCAGATTAAGGCACTTTTTTAAATTAACATGAGATAAGAGATTATTTAGTACGTAAATATATCATCACTTCAGTTGACAAGGGAAGAAGAATGATTACCTATTCAGTAAGTGATCACTTATAATTAATTAGGCATAAACCAGCAAAACACCAGCGGTCAACAGTGTTAAGTAACATTCCTTCTGAAGCAGTAGTGCAAATATTTAAATATAATAATAATTTTTAAAATAACACAAGAACTATAAAAGCATGCTTTTTAAAAATCAAGCTCTTCAAAATAAAACCTGTGACAATCCCTGCTCATATCTAGATTTACTGCATGCACTAAAACAAAGTATGACAACTCAGTGGCAATCAGTATGGACTTAAAGAACTTTCTCAGATTTTTAATAAAAACAGCAGTTTCAGCTCATTTTTAAATCCAGACTTTTTAAAAAAATTATATTTATGGATTTAGCATCTTTTTTTTTTTGAGGAGCAAGAACAACGGGGTATTTACTGTTCCCTAAATGCGAGTGCTTTCACACTTCTTGAAACAGTTAAATTAAGCAGCGATATTTTAACTCCTTAAAGTATTTAGGCCAACATTTGTAGCTTGAAAAATCATGGACAACGTTGCAATTCCTAATATAACAACTCAAATACTTAATATACACGAAAATACATATATATATGTATGTATTTATATGTGTGTGTATATATATATACACACACACACACATAATGCTTTTCAACTACTCAATAATGTAGGTTTTGGATAGTACCAAATACAGCAGACAAGCCACACTTAAAACTAGCCTATTTTCATTAGTTTACTATTATTCAGTAAATCTTCTTTTGATACTGTTCAAGAGAAAACAATTAACAACAAAATTCAAATATCAAAGTGTTCTGCTTTAGTTCACTATTAAGCTCAGTCTTTAAAATGTGAAAACATAATAAATTTTAAAATATTAAGTCATAAATAATCCACCTTGATAAAACAGGTCATACATGCTGTTAATCCAGCAATTATGTTTAGTAAATTTACTACGTACAACAACGCTCTTAAAATATTTACACATTATGTTATTGATAACGTGTTACGGAAATAGTCCCTGACTGGAAGGGATTAAATCCTAAGGAACACAGAATACCTTCCCAAAACATAGATGGACAGAGATGCCACTAAAGGATAACACATCGTGTGCCACTACTCCACATAACCTGGACATGTCCTACAGCGTCCATGGAGAGGTGATACAAGGCTGCAGCCAAGATGGCTTGGTTCCTGACTGATCTCTAAAAGCTAAGGCTATCACATGGAAGAGGTACCTTCCATTTGGAGTCCGGGTAAAGAACACTGTGTCCTTCCCCTCCATGGAAAGGGATGTGCATAAGCAGTTCAGTTTTTTTCTCTGAATGGGGCAGAACATCTGATTTGTTGACTAACACTTCTATGCAGTTAAATGGGCATTTAAACAAAACTTTCCTCCTTCCTCTCATTTGAAAAACTGAGAAAATCAAACAACAAAACACTTTTCATAGAAGTCATAGGAAGGACCCTTTAATTTCAAACTTGGAGGAGCAGCTCAGCAAATCCCCTCTATGAAAGCGATTTGATAGACACGTATGCAACGGCCGAAGTAGCAATGCCCAGAAGGCTTACGGTTACCCTGCCCGCGTCTTGATGTAACCTGTAGTACCCTCTCAGGAAAATCAGCTTTAAAAAACAATAAAGCTGCCAGCAAGGCAGAAGAATGTAAATTTGAAGACAGCAGAAGTACACAGTAGCATTATATTTCTGTATGTGAAAACCAGTGCTGAAAGGGAAAACGGCCTGTAAGGAAATCATTTTTCTTTAACAAGGTAGCTGTATCAGAACAGTTAAATGTGTTTGTGTAAATGATACAAGAAAACACTTTCTATATAATATTCTCACTGACAATCTTATTTCTGTTAGTCTCTGATTTCCAAATGTGACACCCTGCAACTATACACCAGACAGTGCTACCAAAACCCTGCTACTCCTTCCAGAGGATATATTTCTTAAGTAATCTTACATCTAAGTCACCACACCAGCCTGCAAGCCTGACCTTTCTCCTGGTACAGACCAAAGTTTTACTTCCAGAATAGTGACTTCCACTTTACAAATGTAACTATTTCATGCTTTCCCAACAGAAATTGCTTCAGAGAGCCCAGTCTCCTGTGTCAGTTCCAAACCACTGGTGAAACTGTCTTTAATAAAAAACCAGTACAACATATTGTATAGCTACAGTGGTTACAACTGCATTATTATTTCTAGGGCACCTCACTAAGAAAAGTCAACCTGAGCCAAGAATAGGTTTTTGTTACAGAAAGCCATTAAAACAGTCACTGGACTGTTTCATAGACAGGCTTGCTGGTTGGGGAAGGGAACGAGAAGGGGAGAAAAGGCAAGGATTTCTCGTTTATTTGTTGCTTGAAATTTCATTTGCTTATTTTAATCAATACAACTACCGTATTCAGTATTACATTTAAAGGTTCCTTTTATCTTATTGAAAATACACATAAAATAATTACATTAACTGACCCCAAACCTCACCAGCTGTCCTCCTTTAATAGTAATCTGACCATACCAGTCTCATACAGATGTAAAGTCACAGTGACTTTATGTTTTCTTGCATCTCCCTAGCAAAAAATTTAAGACTGTTGGGGTAAAAGTGATCCTGGTGAAACCTCCAGAAAAACAGGTCAATGTTTTTAAAGATCTGGTTAAGTTTGTGGACAGTATTACTAAAAGTACAGTTTCATCAGAAATGATATTTTTTAAACAAATATTAATGCAAAGCAATTTTTAATAAGTAAGTAATACTTATAAAGCTGTTTAATTTACTTCTTACAGCCTCAAGTATCTTACAGGTTAGGCAAAGCTTCAGCAGCCCTACAAACACTTTGCTTCTTGCCTTTTCACCAAATTCCCATTGCGTTCATGTTTTCAGCTAATGGAGAGAGAGGAAAAAGAAACAAAGATGTCCCTAGTGCCTACCTAATGCTGGGAGATGACTCCAGAATACATTTAAAAACAAAGCTTGCTGCCCTAAAGACAGGAACATTAAAAAAAGCCTTAAATTGGCATGAAGGACTTGACATTTTCACATAAAATTGTGTAAAATTGATGGAAGATGCAATGCAATGAAAAAAAAGCATTTTATAGTCTAAACTCAGACTCCAGCTGTCAGTTAGGTCATGTCTGTACCTTTGCATACACAGCATCATAAAACACTTATCCCAACTGTTCTTGGTTCTTGAAAGCTGGAAACGCTTTTTTTAGATTTTATTTAGAACACTACAGTTTGTACATTTAATAATTTTAGCCTAAAATGGCACCCTCAAGAACACATTCCGGTAATCATTAAAAAATCAGACACAATTAAATCCAGCTTTTAGGATTCTAATCAAGATCGGAAAGATAAACAGACTACTTAACTTTTGACAGCACTCAATGTTCACCAAACAAAACACTGTGTTGTTTAAAAGATTCAAAAAAAAATAAAATTGCATCAACAGAATTCATGTGAGGGCGTCACCTGGTGCTCATCAGAGCCTCAACACTGAACTGGTTCAAGTCACCCCACAGAAGACAATTCACCAGTTTTGGCTCATTAGTTTGTTCCCAGCTGAACAAACTGAAACTGCTTATCACCAAGTCAGTCTTTACTTCGCAAAAAGCAAAGAACAGCAACACCAGGAAAAGGATCTTCCCTTTCCAGTGATGGCAAGTTACGTATCATAGCTTGAAACACTTCCACACTTCACCGTAAGTTTTCCAGACTTAAAATTGGAAAAATCAAGATAGGAAAAGGGAAGGCATGGGCAGAAAGGAAGGAAGCAAGGATTAGGACAAGTTGCATGATCTCTAGTTTTCTTGCTTTTTATGTGCAGTTTATTTATCGATCTTAATCACAGAATTGTCCTGGAAACAAAAAAGACATATAAATTTGGATTAAAATATGAATAATTCAATATGTAAGGCTTGGTTAAACAAACACTGGCAGTCAGGCAGTCGAAAATCTTTGAAATATAAATCTGATATCCACACTCTGTTTTAACGAAGAGATAAAGATGAATGCACACATTATACTACTATACAGGTGCAACTATTTAATTTTGCAGTTTCCCAGTCTCTCAGTAAGGAGCAAAATCTTGATGCACAAGACCCTTCCTTTTCCAAAACTCTGCTTCAGGTATTTACGTGCACACGCCACTTGTGTCCTTAGAAAGTGAACTTTTTAAAACTTGTTTTTAGGCACTGAGCAGCTGTACTCAAACAGCACACACAGCCCCCCTCAAAAAGGGATGGTGTTGGTCTCTCAATACTGAGCTATATTGTGAAAGTAAGTATCAAACATCAAAACAAATAATTTCCCAGCCAATACTCTCCACTGCCACACAGCACAAAACTAAGCTGGGACACAAAAGTATTAACCCAGATACGAATAAATTTAAGACCATAAATTTAAAGTATATTCATCTGCTTAATGAACACTAGCTTGACTAGGAAAGGACATCGTTCCTAGCTGTCCTACCAATTAATAGCATGAAGAGCCTCCAATAAAACATTCCAGAGGTTCATAAATCTGTTGTTCACAAATCTGATGACAAAGTTTGAGAGATATTAATTCCACTTTGGCCAGGAATGAATTCAGAAGAAAATTGTAATTCCCATGGCACTACAACTGACTATTTTAGCTCAAGTTCAGGTTGCTGGCATCCCTAAAAGTTTAAAGGGCTGCACTTGGAATTATGTATTCCTATCCATCGACTGAAATCTTGTCTGGGCTTTTTTTTTTTTTTTTTAGAGTCAGGAGTAGGCACAGACAGGACATTTTATGGATCTTCCTCAACTACGCAGCTAATTCATGGCTACCATAATCAGAGAAACTCAAGTGACACAGGTCCGGTTTCCGATGTTCCTGACAAACATTTCCCTACGTCCATGAAA